GACATAAACTTTATTTTCGAAAAATTTTCTTTAATTTCGAACTGGTATGAATTGTTTCTCCTTAAAACATTTTACAACACACACACACACCCACACGCGCGCACACACACGCGCACGCATACGCGCACGAACACGCGCACGCACACGCGCTTGCACACGCGCACGCACACGCGCACGCACACGCGCACGCACACGCACACGCACACACACACGCACACGCACACGTACACGCACACGCACACGCACACGCACACGCACACGCACACGCACACGCACACGCACACGCACACGCACACGCACACGCACACGCACACGCACACGCACACGCACACGCACACGCACACGCACACGCACACGCACACGCACACGCACACGCACACGCACACGCACACGCACACGCACACGCACACGCACACGCACACGCACACGCACACGCACACGCACACGCACATGCACACGCACACGCACACGCACACATACACACACACACGCACACACGCACACACGCAAGCACGCACGCACGCACGTACGCGCGCACGCGCGCAAGCGCGCACACGCGCACGCACGCACGCGCGCACGCACGCACGCACGCACGCACGCACGCACGCACGCACGCAAGCACGCACGCACGCACACACGCACGCACGCAAACACGCACGCACGCACACACGCACGCACGCACGCACGCACGCTAGGATGCACGCACGCACGCACGCACGCACGCACGCACGCACGCACGCACGCACGCACTCACGCACGCACGCACGCACGCACGCACGCACACACGCACGCACTCACGAACGCACGCACGCACGCACGCACGCACTCACGCACGCACGCACGCACGCACGCTCGCACGCACGCACGCACGCACGCACGCACGCACGCCCGCACGCACGCACGCACGCACGCACGCACGCACGCACGCACGCACGCACGCACGCACGCACGCACGCACGCACGCACGCTCGCACGCACGCAAGCACGCACGCACGCACGCACGCACGCACGCACGCACGCAAGCACGCACGCACGCACGCACGCTCGCACGCACGCACGCACGCACGCACGCACGCAAGCACGCACTCTAACATGCCCTAGGTTATTTTTGGCAATTATTGAACAGTACATTACTATTGATTGAATTGTGATTAAATAGTTTGATAAATCCTATGTTTTGTTAGTTAAATTAGTTTTAATTATATCATTTACATAATATCTGTACCCGTGTAGTGGCGGGTAAGAATACTCACTACCCCATATCTTCCCGCGGGTGTCGTAAAAGGCGACAGAGGGAACCTGAGACAGAAGATGGGCTGCAGCATCTTTCTGATAACAACAAAACAACAATAAAAAACTGCGGTTGCCAACCCGCTCGCCAAGCGTGGCAACAATGGCAATATACCCCCATGAAAGTAACGAAGAGATGGCCCCCAGTCCCTAGCGGCCCCGCTATTCCTGGCTACGGTGGCAACCATGGTAACGGCGGGTCAGGGGGTGCTAAGAATCTCCGGTGGAAGTTCAGTTGCCACCTACGATGACTTGACCTGGCAACTTATAACGCACGCACTCTGAGTACTGACGAGAAGATCCTGGAGCTTATCCGAAGTCTGACGACGGGGGGAGACACGGTAATCCTCGAATCCGGCAATTCGTTCTATCACCGGTAGAGCAACCATCTGTCCCAAGGAGGTATCGGATTTATCATCCACAAGTCTCTCGTTAACAACGTTGTAAAGATTGGGACTGTGTCGACGAGGGTTGCGTACCTTATACTCAGAATCACCAAACGGTATTCGCTGAAGGCCATACAGGCTTACGCACCAACCTCGGCACACCCCGATGAGGAGGTGGAGGAAATGTATGAGGATCTCTAGAGCCATGCATTCCTCCAAAACCCACTATACGGTGTTAATGGGAGACTTCAACGCAAAACTAGGCACAAGAGAGAACGGTGAGCTGAAAGTAGGGAATCTCGGAATAGGGCAACGGAACCCAAGGGGCCAGCAGCTGGCCGACTTCATGGAGAAAAAGGGACTCTTTATGATGAACTCTTTCTTCCAAAAGCGGCCCCACAGGACCACTTCCTGGTCGAGCCCCGACGGTTTGACAAAAAATGAGATTGACTTTATTATGACGACCAGACAACAACTGTTCAGTGATGTCTCAGTGATCGCGAGGGTGAAAACTGGTAGCGATCACTGAATGGTGAGAGGCACACTGAACCTAAACGTTAAGTTGGAGAGGTCACGTCTAATAAAGTCAACGCTCTGTCCTCCTCTTGCTCTAATCCAAAGTCCCGAAACCTTTCAGCTCGAGCTACGAAACCGTTTTCAGTGCCTAGAAGATTGCAATGCAGTAGATGATATGAATAACAAGCTCGTGGAAACTGTTCTTGCGGTCGGAGCTAAGTTTTGCAAGACCCGCCGCAGAAGAACACAAAAACTCTCCGATCAAACTCTTAATCTCATGGCTGTTAGACGGGATATGAAGCTGCAGTCTTCAGTAGATTTGACAGCATACAGGCAACTGAACAGACAGATCTACAAATGTACGCGGCGGGACTTACGCAACTTTAATACTGCTCGTATTAAAGAAGCGATCGAGCGGAACCAGGGCTCCAAAGTCTTTGCTAGAGATTTGTCTGCCAGAAAGAGCCAACTGTAGAAGCTGAAGACCGAGTGTGGCAACGTCGTTTCCGGGACACCTGAGATTTTCAGTGAGATTGAGAGGTTCTATGGGCAGCTGTACACATCATCGTTGGAGCCACACGTAAGTGTGAGTAACGTTCCAAGAGCGAGTCTTATCCGACACTATTCCGATGATATCCCCGGCGTCAGTCTGAGCGAGATTAGATAGGCTCTCCAGCACTTTAAAAACGGCATGGCCCCAGGCGAGGATGGAATTACAGCGGAGCTTCTGAAAGCGGGTAGAAAACCGGTACTTGAAGTCCTTCAGAAGCTCTTTAATTCCGTCCTCCATGGTGGCACTACACCGGAGGCGTGGAGCAGAAGTGCGGTGGTCTTGTTCTTCAAGAAAGGTGACAACGCTGTCTTGAAGAACTACAGACTGATTTCCCTTCTGAGCCGCGTTTACGTGCTGTTTTTGAGAGTCATTACGAATCGTCTCGCGCGCAGACTTGACGAATTCCAGCCTCCCGAACAAGCCGGTTTCCGAAAAGGCTTTAGCACCATAGACCACATACATATCCTTCGGCAAATTGTACAGAAGTCCGAAGAGTACAATTTGCCACTATTTCTGGCGTATGTGGACTATGAGAAAGCCTTTGATTCCGTCGAAATTTGGGCAGTGCTGCAGTCCCTTCAGCGATGCCAAGTTGACTGTCGGTATATCGAAGTGCTGAAGTTCTTGTACAGTAGGGCTACGATGGCTATCCGAGTACAGAACCAGAGTACGAAACCTATCCAATTGCAGAGAGGTGTAAGACAGGGTGACGTTATATCCCCGAAACTCTTCACCGCTGCATTGGAAGATGTTTACGGTATTAACATCAATGGCGAGTACATCACTCACCTTCGATTTGCCGACGATATAGTCGTTATGGCAGAATTGCTGGAGGACCTAAGCACTATGCTCAATGACCTCAATAGTGTTTCCCAACGGATAGGTCTTAAGATGAACATGGACAAAACAAAGATCATGTTTTATGTCCATGTCACACCTATGCCGGTAGTTGTTGTGAGCACTAAGCTCGAAGTTGTTGACGAGTATGTTTACCTGGGACAAATACTCCGACTAGGTAAGTCCAATTTCGACCGAGAGGTCAATCGACGGATTCAACTCGGTTGGGCAGTGTTCGGGAAATTACGGCACATCTTCTCGTCAGGTATACCTCAAAACTTGAAAACAAGACTGTACAACCAGTGTGTGTTGCCAGTGATGACCTATGGCACTGAGATGTGGTCCTTCACTGCTGGTCGGATGAGGAAGCTCAAGGTCGCTCAGCGAGCTGTGGAGAGGGCTATGCTTGGAGTTTCTCTGCGTGATAAACTTAGAAATGAGGATATCCGCAGTAGAAACAGAGTGACCGACATAGCCCAATGGATTATTAATCTGATGTGGCAATGGGCCGGCCATATAGCTCGAAGAACCGACAACCGATGGGGAAAAAAGGTTCTCGAGTGACGGCCTCGTACCGGCGGACGAAGTGTTGGGCTTCCCCCCACTAGATGGAGTGACGACCTGGTAAGTTATGCAGGAAGTCGATGGATGCAGGTGGCCCAGGACCGTGCTTTGTGGCATTCCTTGGGGGAGGCCTATGTTCAGCAGTGGACTTGTGAAGGGCTGTAATGATGATGATAATTTCTGTATGTATGTATGTGTCTGTATGATGTCTGTTATTTGTATAGACAATTATTTTCTTCTGCTTTCTTCCTATAAGGTAAGGTGGTTTATTTTAAATTTTATTATGAGATCCCCTCATTGTAAGAATATACAATCAAAATTATATATTTTTTTTTTTTTTATAGGAGAGGGGACAAACGAGCATGCGGCTCACCTGATGGTAAGTGACTACCGCCGCCCATGAACAACCGCAACACCAGGGGAATTGCAGATGCGTTGCCGGCCTTTAAAAATTTATTGGAAATTATCTCGCTTTCAGTTCTAAATGTTCTTAAGTGAGGTTCTTAGTTCTATACGCTGTATAATGCGCAGCGTAATCTTAACATAATTATGTTTAATAAAATCTTCCGCGTGTAACAATTTAATTTTTATTGATCTTGCAAAATTTAATTATGCGAATGGTTACACTGAATCCCGCCATTTTTATTTTTACATGTGTCAATGTCATTCCTTGATCCTTGTCATTTCTGATTGTGATTTGTCAAATTGTGAGAGTAAAGTAATAAAATATTTAGAATTTAGGAATATAAAATATAAGTGTATACACTTATTGAAAGGTCTTTCTTGTTATTTTTTAAATATTTAAACTAGAGATAGGTATTATTCAGGTTACATAATATGTAATTATACCGAATATGGAAGAGGAAAGTGAGTAAACTTTATAAACTCGGATATTTAGTGTTTTTCCTGGGTTTTCTACATCTTTTATTTATTTTTTGTAGAATTAATACGAAAGAAAAAGAAAGCATTGAATGGAAGCAACAGGCGTAATTTAGCAGAGGCTTGTAATGATTTGGCTACATTTTATTATAAACATAATCGGTATAGTGATGCACTCGAAGAGTATAAAAATGAAGCTGCTGTCGTCAAAGATCTGGGCCTACGAATGGAATGGGGCACTTGCAATCGGATGATTGGTGAAATGTATATGTTGTTAGCAGAATTTGATAAAGCTCTCAAATACGAGGAGCGGCATTTAGGTAAGATAATTTAGCTTTAATTTTACCAAATATTACCTTGAAGATAAAACGTAAAACATTATCACATTTTAGACTTCATAAAAATGTTTCTCAATAGATTTCTATTCATATTACTAACTACTTTTTGTAAAAATATTACACCAAAAAGTGTATTGACTGCTGCCTGCTTGCATATTTTGTATTTATACCGAATCTCTGTTGAAATATTTTTACTAATACAATAATTGTTTCATTAATTACAATTAGTGCATATTGTTTAGTGTAATATGCCAGCTTGAAAACTTCCATGACAACCACATGAATTAAAATCCAGAATAAATAATCAAATGATACTCCTTTGAGAATTTTTACCAAGATGATTGCCTCATAAATCTTTATTTGTAGCTATATATTACATAATCGCATTATATTGTCTTAATATATAAGACATCATTATTAATGTGACAATAAATAGGCATCCAATGCAGCATTATGTTACAGTGTAATAACCACTACACTGATATTTTGTTTTAAACTTATAATTTTTTTGTTAATTTTATAAAAAATATGAATGCATAATATATTATCTAATACAAAATCAATGACAGTAGATTATAATGATATATAATATATACATCTAACCTAAACGCATTTTGCGTGTGGGCAGGAATATTATGATTATTAGAGCCATGAAATCTCCCCGAAGAAGTTCAACAATCCTTAGATGTTGTAAACAATTCCAGCGTGCCGATATGTTTAGTGCCATAAAAAAGTCCCCCTGGGTTTCCTGCTGGTATAATAATTATCAACATTAAAAAAATAGGTCAAAAAAATTAACGGTCTTCTAAAGTGTCATTGTAACAATCAGATTAAGTTCTCTTCTATAAAAATCAATAAGTAAATGTAACGTTTTTAACAATTATAAACAAATATAAAAAAAAACTCTAAAAATAATGCAGAATGAAGTAAGCTAGAGCTTATTCTTATTCTAAATGGGATAAGTTGTCCTAAAAAGCATGGCAGTTTAGGGACAAAAACTGTTTTAACTCTTATAAATGTTAGTATTTTGTTTTTTTATTGGTATGGGATTTGCGTGCAATGGTGGATAAGCTACAGGTGAAATTAAGGCTTGTGGTTTCATGGGTAAGTCTTCATATGGGGTATCTAAATCATGGGTCAATTTAAATTTTATTCTTCCAGCTGGATCGTATAGTAAAGCCTTGATATCCGTCACTACTGCGCCTTGTCTTTGAAATGGTCTTATCGATGCATATCTCAAGATCCCCTTTATAGAAAAAAAAATCAAAATTGATCATCTTTTGCTCATATGGAAAGGGCTTGCTTCTTGCTGCACTAGCCACACTGGCATATTGACTGGGCAAATATTTTTATGTTTTTTAATTTGCATTGAATGCAGCATGTGCAGACACAGAAACAGATATTTTTTATTCAATATAGATTATAAATAATACTTATTGAAAGTCACTATTTTGTTTAATTACCACTGGTTCGAATAAAAAACCTCTCCTGGGTAGAACCAGCAAGAAACCCAGCTGGACTTTTTTTTAAATAACAGCTTACAATCATGTATGTTACACAATAACCACACAAAACAAATTAGAAATAACTTGATAGCAATCACCTCATAATCACACTCCATCTGTGTGTGGCCTTTAACAAGATATTTTTAGTAGATCACGACATTCTTTTAAAATAGCCAACTCAAGTAAGGCATTTGAGATTACTGCATTTCAATTTTGGTAAGTGCAGCCATCAGAATAAACTATTATTGGAATAGGTTTTTCTGCTAGATATTCAGATAAAATATCTATCAGACAACTGGCAAATGTCGAAGCTGATAAGTCCGTATCAGATTCATTCATATCATATGAACCAATAGCATCTCACCCGATGATCTGCCAAATTGTATACCGTATAGTTGTATAAACAACGACCTGGTCAAATTCGCGGGTGTGACTTGGAACCGGGTTGCCAAGGATAGAAACGAGTGGAAAAGGTTGGAGGAGGCCTTTGCAGATTGGCAATCAGCAGAAGACAATGTAGATTTTATATGACTTAGATATTAAGAAATTGTATTACGTACTGTTGAATAAATGGCTTTATTATTATTATGTATAAACAAAGTTTTGTCTTGTAGTACATATGCTAGTATTTAAATTTGGAGATAATTTAACAGCTTGAAGATCAATTGTGAAGACGCAACAATGACCATCAATTGCTTCTTGGTTTTAGCACCTCTGGCTAGATCTTTTTCTAATAAATGGGCATCATAAACCTATTTTAAAATGTTTCCAACTTTAAATTGGCTACATGTGTCACAGGTAACTTTTATTGGCTGTAATATCCCAACATTCATTTTTTTAAATGCTCTCTCAAAGGTTCTTTTGCTTACTATTGAATCTTCTCCTTGATGTTGGTGATCACAGTATAATGAATATAAATGGATTATAGAGCGACATTTGTCTCTCTGGTCTCCTGAGTAGGTTTGTTATGTGTACCTATCCAATATCTTACTGTCCACTCTTTCATGCCTAATGTATTCAAAAACAAAATTCTACAAACACGAACTCGACGTTGCCCATCTATCATCATCATCATCATTACAGCCTTTCACAAGTCCACTGCTGAACATAGGCCTCCCCCAAAGAATGCCACAAAGCACGGTCCTGAGCCACCTGCATCCATCGACTTCCTGCATATCTTACCAGGTCGTCACTCCATCTAGTGGGGGGACGCCCTACACTTCGCCTGCCGGTACGAGGCTGCCACTCGAGAACCTTTCTTCCCCATCGGTTGTCGGTTCTTCGAGCTATATGGCCGGCCCATTGCCACTTCAGCTTACTAATCCGTTGGGCTATGTCGGTCACTCTAGTTCTACTGCGGATATCCTCATTTCTGAGTTTATCACGCAGAGAAACTCCGAGCATAGCCCTCTCCATAGCTCGCTGAGCGACCTTGAGCTTCCTCATCCGGCCAGCAGTGAAGGACCACGTCTCAGTTCCGTATGTCATCACTGGCAACACGCACTGGGTGTACAGTCTCGTTTTCAAGTTTTGAGGTATACCTGACGAGAAGATGTGCCGTAATTTCCCGAACGCTGCCCAACCGAGTTGAATCCGTCGATTGACCTCTCGGTCGAAGTTGGACTTACCTAGTCGGACTATTTGTCCCAGGTAAACATACTCGTCAACAACTTCGAGCTTAGTGTTCCCAACAACTACCGGCATAGGTGTGACATGGACATTAAACATGATCTTTGTTTTGTCCATGTTCATCTTAAGACCTATCCGTTGGGAAACACTATTGAGGTCATTGAGCATAGTGCCTAGGTCCTCCAGCGATTCTGCCATAAGGACTATATCGTCGGCAAATCGAAGGTGAGTGATGTACTCGCCATTGATGTTGATACCGTATCCTTTCCAGTCCAGAAGCTTGAAAACATCTTCCAATGCAGCGGTAAAGAGTTTCGGGGATATGACGTCACCCTGCCTTACACCTCTCTGCAATTGGATAGGTTTTGTACTCTGGTTCTGTACTCGGATAGCCATCGTAGCCCTACTGTACAAGCACTTCAACACTTCGATATACCGACAGTCAACTTGGCATCGCTGAAGGGACTGCAGCACCGCCCAAATTTCGACGGAATCAAAGGCTTTCTCATAGTCCACATACGCCAGACATAGTGGCAAATTGTACTCCTCGGACTTCTGTACAATTTGCCGAAGGGTATGTATGTGGTCTATGGTGCTAAAGCCTTTTCGGAAACCGGCTTGTTCGGGAGGCTGGAAGTCGTCAAGTCTGCGCGCGAGACGATTCGTAATGACTCTCGAAAACAGCACGTAGACGCGGCTCAGAAGGGAAATCGGTCTGTAGTTCTTCAAGAGAGCGTTGTCGCCTTTCTTGAAGAACAAGACCACCGCACTTCTGCTCCACGCCTCCGGTGTAATGCCACCATGGAGGACGGAATTAAAGAGCTTCTGAAGGACTTCAAGTACCGGTTTTCCACCCGCTTTCAGAAGCTCCGCTGTAATTCCATCCTCGCCTGGGGCCTTGCCGTTTTTAAGGTGCTGGAGAGCCATTCTAATCTCGCTCAGACTGACGTCCGGGATATCATCGGAATAATGTCGGATTAGACTCGCTCTTGGATCGTTACTCACACTTGCGTGCGGCTCCAACGATGACGTGTACAGCTGCCCATAGAACCTCTCAATCTCACTCAAAATCTCAGGTGCCCCGGAAACGATGCTGCCACATTCTGTCTTCAGCTTTGACAGTTGGCGCTTTCTGGCAGACAGATCTCTGGCAAAGACTTTGGAGCCTTGGTTCCGCTCGATCGCTTCTTCAATACGAGCTGTATTGAAGTTGCGTAAGTCCCGCCGCATGCATTTGGAGATCTGTCTGTTCAGTTGCCTGTATGCTGTCAAATCTGTTGAAGAATGTAGCTTCATCTCCCGTCTAACAGCCATGAGATTAAGAGTGTGATCGGAGAGTTTTTGTGTTCTTCTGCGGCGGGTCTTGCAGAGCTTAGCTCCGACCGCATGGACAGTTTCCACGAGCTTGTCATTCAAATCGTCCACTTCATTGCAGTCTTCTAGGCACTGAAAACGGTTTTGTAACTCGAGCTGAAAGGTTTCGGGACTTTGGATTAGAGCACGAGGGGGACGGAGCGTTGACTTCATTAGACGAGACCTCTCCAACTTAACGTTTAGGTTCAGTGTGCCTCTAACCATTCGGTGATCGCTGCCGGTTTTCAACCTCGCGATCACTGAGACATCACTGAACAGTTGTCGTCTGGTCGTCATAATGAAGTCAATCTCATTTTTTGTCGAACCGTCGGGGCTCGACCAGGTCCACTTCCTGTGGGGCCGCTTCTGGAAGAAAGAGTTCATCATAAAGAGTCCCTCTTTCTCCATGAAGTCGGCCAGCTGTTGGCCCCTTGGGTTCCGTTGCCCTATTCCAAATTTCCCTACTTTCAGCTCACCGTTCTCTCTTGTGCCTAG